TCTAATGTCACTTTCCAGCTTTATAAACAAACTAAAATTGAATTTTAAAATAATAATAATAGATTTATCAATCTTGTTCTATTATACATGATATTATTTTTATTATTATAATTATTATTATTATTATTATTATTATTATTATTATTATTATTATTATTATCATCATTATATACCAGTAAGTTTTACCTTTTCGACTTTGATATCAGACACTGTTATATAGATACATGAGCCATCAAAATGATTGTCGTTTTCTATATCCGTCTCAAACAATTCGCAGACGTTTTCACCTCGAAATGTCAAAGATTTACAATGCGGTCTAAGTGCACATTCCGTGACACAATCTGACAGGGTGAGATCTTTAAACATACGAAACCTATCCGTTTCAAACCGACACGTCGAAAGAGACGATATTGTGTATGTAACATTTACTCCATTTTTGACAACGTTATGAAACGCATTGCAACTTTTGATGATACAAACTAAAAATATGTAAATTTTCATCTTGCTCTTCTAACAATTTTGCCTTCCTGATTTCTGGTAAAGGTATTGTAGTATTTATACTGACCTAAGCCCAGGCTTTTGTCGCGGTCCATTTCATTCTTTTTTTAATTATTAAATGTAATAAAGGATATGGTTTACTATAATATAAATTCATGAAAACATTCTAAACACAATTTATTATACAAAGCATTGTGTTAGTTTTTATGAATTGTCACATAAATTCTGACTTTCATGTATTATTCATTGTCCGGGTTTTTTTAAATATAAGTTTGTTACACGATTGAATTAACGACCGGTAATTAAATTTAAAACACTTTCAAATAGGAACAAAAAAGACCTTTATGAATTATGGGATATTTCACAACCACGTACGGCCTGTACAAAAGTATCTACCTACGGTTTGAAGCGTCCCACAATCCCAGATATTGGAATTTTACTCATTTAATTTCAATTTACACAATCAATATCTAAGCAACTGACAGTACTGTCATTTTTGTTGAATATCCAATATTTTTATATTTTATTTAGATTTTATATACTAAAATATCTTGTGAAATAATTCTAACATGCCTTGCAGGGATATATGCATTCAATATAAATGTTTTATAATAATAAAAAAAAAACAGCTTTGTTACATAAATGAAAAAAACAAAAACAACAAAAATAGGTAGATAGGATGAAAGTGTTTTGATGTCGTGAAAAATATTTTTTCGAATATGTAAATATCAACCTTAAACTCGAGATGATATTGGCTTTGAGTATACTCTGTCAGAAAAAGAGAAAATGAACGCCGCCTTAAAGCAGTCGGAAACCGCTGCGATCATTCACAATCATAGTCCTTATATAGATTGAAAGTAGTTCTACCATGTGACTTTAGATGTAAATAGGTGTAAATCAAAACAGAGGATGAACTCTCTGTATAATGAGTTGCGATTATATTCATTTGACATCCAACGAAAAATAAAGTTAATTTCAGTAAAATTAAGATTGAAAAATATGTCTGACAATCAGATTCAATTTAAAAATGCCGATCAACAAATAATAAACAACCTAGAAATACCGTCAATGGGAGTACGTACAGTTTATACTTTCGGTTTCTAAAAACATAATAGTCAATAATTGATTAATGTGTGTCAGAATGAATTGCAGGTTTCGTTCTGGGTATTCTTATTATTGCGTAGCAGGTCTTTAAGGTCGAGAAGTTGCGATTGAACCTTGGGGAGGTTATTAATATTTAGAAACTAAACACCACCCACAATGTAAACCAAATTACGAAATTTCATACAGCATATCAAAGATTTGTAAACCTCCTTCTTGTATTTGTGTCCATCAGCTGATATAATATAATCATCAATGCAAGTGCACCACCTATTGAGGAAAATCAATTAGGTAATATACAGCATATCTGACTGTTAAAGAGAAGTAACTCTACAAATACGAAATGCCATGCACATACATTTGTTATATAAACACAGCGCCATATTTTGACATTTATCGAACTATCCTGACGACGATGCCAAGACGTCTTTCTACACAATACGTATAAGATGTATACTGTATATAACACTTTACATATCTGATCTTGAATAACCTGACCGTGTCTGATTCACTCTTCTTCACCAAGTTTGATGTAGTTTAAAAATGATGTCTAAAACCATACTGATGAAAAACGAATTTAAAAGGTGCGCTTATAAAATGTCCTAAAGTGTACATGTAGTGGAAACATGATTATTGCAGCATAAATGGAAAAAAATGTTAAGATTTCTGGTAATTATCTTTTACAAGTCCCCTTCCTTGAGCGACCTGTACTTGTATTATGAAGCGAAAAATGATTAAGACACAGTAGGGATCAAACCAATGATCCATCAGTTGAGCAGCGTGCATTTAACCACAAGACCACCACACCACCACCCATCTTGCCTCTCCTTCAGGAGTAGTACCCAATCAAGCAAACAAAGTATTGTTGAGACTAACATTTTAGTATAATGACATTGAAATCCATTTAATGAACAAGAACGGTTCTCAAATTCAAAATAGGGGAAATCTATAAAATGAACAAAGCAGACTGTACATAAATCCCTGTCAGAATGATACAATCGCTAGTGATTTGAACACAGGTGTTAAAAATGGAATACAAAACCCTAAAATACCTACATAGAAAGTGCTTTCTATCGGGTATCAGTGACTATACACGATGCCTGTCTATCTATCTCCAATCTTTTTAAATTGATTCATCAGATTAAATATGTGTCTTTGTTCAAAAATTCATCGATTGAATCAGAAAGCAAAAGATTGTAGAAAATGATATTCGCACAAAGTATGTAACGACCTATGAAATTATGTAACGATTGATGGAAGTGCTTTCTAAGTAGGGTTTAAATGCATTTCGTTGAAAGAAAATCCATTCAGTATTAAAAAAAGATATTCACTAAAAACGTGATTTGTATCAGTACGTTTATGATATTTTCCGCAGTGTACTCTGTTTTAAAAGTGCCGTGGGTTCATTATTGTTATAAAGGTTGTTAATGGACTCCTCAATGAATTGTTTTAGAACTTCATCGATGTTCCATAACCACCGACACCACAAACATGACCTATTTGTTTCCTTTGACTGAAGAATCGCCAGTTTGATTCAAACAGAATGTGTGACAATCCAATGACAATCCAAAATCAAAATCCAAAAACATAAAACACCTATGTTGGCAATATGCATTTTCATTCTTAGAAAACAAATGTAATGTTTGTTATAAAAGTGAAACCGAGTAGCAGTTATTGATTTCATATCAAACCCGTTATATTTTCTACTCAAAGTTGGAGATTGTTATATTTCCCCTTAAGCTATTAATAAAATTTATTCATCACCGACGTTTGGTACTAATGAAGCACTAAAAAGCATACTTTCATACGATGACTTTGATTTTAAATGTCTTTAAAAGGTAAGACATGTATGACAGCGAGTATACTCCTTGCGGAGTGATGCAATTACTTGAGATGATGATGATGATGACATGCAGAAATTTCGAAAATGGGGACCCGTGTAAATGAATGAATACCCAATTAAATTATGTTCATATCACGAGAGACACAGAACGACAAAACGTACCTAATGCTACGTTCCCATCTCGTCATAATTCGAACATATTCTACAAGACTTGATAACATTAATAACGACAAGTGAAATTAGTCTGTCCGCGAGAGCCTAAATGACATCTCTTAAAACTGAATAAGCTCAAAAAGGAAATGAAAAAGCTCAATCAAACCCAATCTGTAACATTTACATTTTGGACATTCTTCAGGGATTCCCGTTTTTCTATTTTATGAGAATTCCCCGTAAAAGATACACAGCTTTTAATGTGCCCACTACTGCTTTCACGCTGGCCTTATACCACAAAGTCAATCTGTAAACTGACTAGAGAGTTGAATGTAGGGCATCAGTGTCTAATGTACAACCCCATTAGACTATCAAACATGAATAAATTTGTATAAAAAAACATTTAAAGATTCCATAGAAAATAACATTGTATGTAAAGATAACTTCATAAAACATTAAGCCTCATTGACAAAAGCTATAGATTTAGTCAGAAAACAATCACAGAGCTAAATTAATTGACGAGCTTTTAAAAGCAATGTTTTATTGATTTGCATGGGCTTGAATATCACAATTCTGTCAGCCTGATGTAACATTTGTGACAAGGCTTTCATGAAAATCCAAGGTATGTGACTTTGATGGTTTATTACGCAAGAGAAATTGTATTATTTGACAAATAATATTTACTACTATTTTAATTAATTTAATTAAGCATTATTGAAATATGTTTTAGATTCATTTTTATGATATACTGAAGTTAAAAGAAATGATAATAATTTGCGAATCTATTGTTTAAGCAACATTCTAATATCCTACGGAACTGTATTATACATGAACTGTTAGCAAATGAAAGCATACGTAATGAAGTAACATAAGTGTGATAAAAAGTTATAAATCAAACGAAAATTTAAAGCCTGGAATTGTTAGCATAATATCTTAAACTCGTATATATCTTTTTATATCATCGATATAAACCATTTCATTCTATGTTTTAAAGTAACAATTCATATATTTATTAAGCATGTGGCCATATGTTCGTTTATATAGGGGGGGGGGGCGAGGCTGTGGCCGAGTTAACAAAGTCTTTATGTATAGGTCAGTCTTCATTAGAAAGCATCTACAAAATTAAATTGGTCAAGAGCGGCGCAGATGCGAGTTAACAAAGTCCTTAAAAAGTATGTAATGGGCGTCGACCAGAAACACCATGATAAGAATTTGATTTCAAAACGATATGGAAGTTATAGATATACGCTCTTTAGAAACAAAAGTTAAACGAATCAAAATGTTCAAAGATTTTATTAATCTTATTGTCATTTCATGGGTACTCTAGTTAGTTGGGGATATGTTATAACTGCTATGCGTTCTTTCATTACAGATTACTACAGGATAAGCATTTCAACAAAGAGCAAAAAAGATAAAAGACGAATAATTAATTCCATATTTCTCAGCAAGATGTACCGTCTAAAATATTTAAAAGCTCTTTTATGTTTAGTTTTGTTCAACACGACATTTATAGCTTGCCACCACGTTAATGACACATACAGACTGTTACGCGACAAACTTTCATATTATGACAAGACAATCAGACCAAAAATCAACCAGTCAGAGCAGACAGTGGTATATTTTACATTCGGGTTATTGTCTTTGAAAGAACTCGATGAGGTAAATCAAAGATTGAGCGTCGCAGCCTTCACCTCATTGGTATGGACTGACGAATTGTTGCGATGGACCCCAAACGACTATGGTAATATGACACAACTTCGGACTGGGAGTGGCAAATTCTGGACACCAAACTTGATCTTAGTGAATAGTGCTGAATCGGTGAATGAACCTTCTATGACACCGATGGTTATTCAATCAAACGGCCAAGTTATTATTTTTCCAACTCAATCGTTTTCAATTCCATGTGACTTGGATGTAACAGCGTATCCTTTTGACCGACATGTATGTTTATTAGCTCTATCATCACAAATATACGAAACTAATGAATTGGTGATAAAGCCAATTAAGCAAGAAGTCGATACAAGTTACTTTGTTAGCCATGGTGCTTGGGAATTACAAGACTCTCGGATTGTGGACTTTACGGCGCAGTCCTTTTCAAATATAAATATATACTTAAGTTTTGAACGGAAGCCTCGTTTTGTCATCTTTAATGTGATACTTCCTATAATGTTCTTGTCATTCCTAAGCGTTTTTGTATTTCTTATACCATCCGACAGTGGCGAAAGAATGTCTTTCACTTTAACAATGCTTCTTGCAATTTCAGTCTTTCTGACATTGGTTGGTGATAATTTACCGAAAATTTCAACATTTATGCCAGTGCTTAGCTATTACATTATTTCTATGTTGGTAATGTGTGTATCGATAGCATTAGCAACGATTTTAAACCTACGTCTGTTCCATTTAGACGAAGCTGAACCAAAACCCAGATGTTTGACAAAGGTCGTCACACGATGTTCTAAAAAAGCAATTGCAAAGCATGCTATTTATCCTGAATCACCGGACAGGAACGACATTGGATCAAAAGACATTGAATTGTTAGAAACTTCGGATGATACACATAAAAAAGACCATCAGTCATCGACTCTGCAGCAATACAACAATGTGAAGGTCAATGATAACCCAGACGAGTCTGTCGAACAATCTACGTACCCTGGCAGTAAAATAACATGGAAAGATATAAGTGCTGTGTTCGATATTCTATTTTTTCTGACCTTCCTTGTTGTATTTATTTTAGCTACGGTTACATATGTTGTAGTTGTGTTAACAAATCGTCGATTAACGATTGATGATGCAATAATGTCCTTGAAAATGAAGTTTAATATAGATGTATGATGTTTATGCACTCATTGTTTTACACAACTGATTACCAAGATTTTGGTACTCGTGTATTGTATATTTTTCATGATTCTGGGCATCAAGTTTGACATCTTAAGAATAAGCAGCTTTGTTATCACAAAATGACTCATTGGGACAGAACTAATATATATTAAAGACTTATTGATATCACGAAAGATTTTCTACACACCTTTTAAAGTCCTAAATATCAGCTGATGTTTACAACGTGAAAGTTATTTGAAGAAAACAAAAAGTAAATCATGATTAGAGATCATTAATACACTTGTTACTATATATAGTAACAAAATTGCCTATGATTTCGACTGATTATGAGTGTCACGTGACCTATTATGAGTTTGCAGCCCCGGGCCGAGAACTAGTTATTAGCCCGTTGAACATGTGCACGTGCACAAACTGAAACAATGACGTCATATTTGACGTCATCAAACTGTTAACTGTGAAAGTAGATTTTAAGCAAAAATCGCTTGATTTTATGATGAGAGCTTTAGCGTACTTCGTATAAGCACAGTTTTTAAATTTCTTAAACGAAAAATTCCTTCCGAAAAATAGAACATGAAACTTGCTTTTAGATTCTAGTGTACTTTGTATAAACAAAAAGTAAACAATTCTGTAGTGAGTACTGAGAAAAATGCTTCTATTAGAGCAATCAAGTGTATTAAAGACATAAATACACGTCATAGTTGTGCCAGAAGGTGAAAATCGACCCTGAAATGAATTATGCCCTCGGGCTAAAGCCTTTGGACCATTATTCATATTGCGGGCCGATTATCACCTTCCGGCCCTACTCTTTCGTGTATTAATCTCTTATTATAAACATTTTAATTTAGACTGTACAGAAAGCTTGTTGCCCTCTAGTCCGATTCTTTGAACTTACCAGAACTGATGTAATAATAGGAAACAAGTTATTAAGTCTGGTAAGGCTCAATCAAACCCACGATCCCTATGTTATGAGCCAGACACAACAAAATTATCATGACTATTCAACTGGTCATTTAATACAAATCAAAAGCAATAGAGATAGAGATATTCCTCTTAAATAGTTTGGGACATAAACTATTTTGTACAACTGCAGCTGTACGACCATTTGTATGCCATACGGTTTTTCATATCATATTTATACTTATTTCAATACATGAAACGTTGTAGATTTATGGGCATATTTTTTAATTAATCTTACCTAAAATGAGCTAGATAAAGATTTCCCTTGTTAGCTTTTCAGCTGTGCTTTATTATAAGTTATAAAATGATGTAGGTTAGATATTGTCTATTATAAGTATCGGTTTTAAATCAAGTTTTCTAAGAGTAATAGGATCCTTCTTTTATACGCCATGAAGGACCCACCAATATAATTCATTGCTTGGTAGACTAAAAGCCCAAATAATTAAGGATGCTATAAAGGGAAAAAGCCAACCATAAACAGCTACACTACAACATGTAAAAACAAGTGTTGACTTTCTGTGTTGGTGCATACAAGTCATTAACTAAGTCATTGAATAAAGAAAGTGCCGAAAGAAAACATGAAACAAGAAAGTAACATGAAATGTTCAGATTTATCGCGTTCCATTGCTCACATAAAAAATAGCATAAACCTACACAAGTAGATAGTATTTATAAATGGAAATTATTATACGGAGAACAAGGAAGGGGTAGGTTTTAAACATTAAAAACATATATTTGTATGTTCTAGAAAACTGTTTATAAATTGAAGATACATTTTGATACATATGGATGGATAATATGTTATAAATGAAATTCTATAAAGCCTTACCTGGGTTTCTTTCTGACAAAATTTACTGTCAATCGCAAATAAATGACTTTCCCCTTTTACTGAAAGTCGGCTTTTGTTTATAATATATCGTTGTTGTGTGCGCATGTGTGTTTGTGTGTTGCGGTTTTTTTTGTGTTTTTCCCCTCTGTGTGTTGTTTTTGTTTGTTTTTTTTTTGGGGGGTTTGGGTGGGGGGTAGGGGGTGGGGTTGTATTATATTTAGCATATAAACCCTCTTGATGGTTTAAACTAACATGTTTGGATAATTACTTTCTGGACATAACTAAAGTTTTTATGATTCCCCATATGGAAGTGCAAGAGAGCTAAAGACAATACGATAAGTTTTTATTTTAGATGTTTCACATATAATTACATGTACTCGTATATATAATATCAGTGCTTTCGTGAACCTTTTAACCCGCAAAAAAGTCCACTTAGATAGTAATTTGTACTGAGACACACAATTTATAGATTTCCGTAATGTATTTCACAGCAATTTGTAAATGATAAAATCAATGTTCCAAACGACAGTTGCTTAATACAATGATTTCCATCTACGATCATAAATCAAAGAATAGAACATTCATATGATAGAAATCATAAAACACAAAGTTAATAGGTGTGATAACTCTGTTCGACTGGAATTGTATAGGGATTCATTAGATTGATTTATGATCGTTTCACGATTCATTTAAACAGAAAAAATTTTACTCTTTCAGTAATAAGATTAAATAGGACGAGCACCGTTAACGGGAAAGCAAATTTAATAATATTCTGAAGTACCGGCACCTGAATATGCATTTAAACTGACAGGGCAAAACAAAAGCCCAGGAGGAGAGGTCAAGTAGACTATTATAAACAACAAAATTAAGGACATTAATTGTAATGGATATAAAGAAAAATAATGAAAGGGGATGAGAGGGTGCATGACTGAAGGATACAGGGAGGAAATACTTAACACAAATTCACAATCAACGAAATAAATTGGGGCGCAAATACATAATTCATAAATGTCGATAATATATACAAATGGAACAACTTGGGTATACCGCATTTGAACAGTCACTAGCAAAATCACTACTTTGGCTAATTGATTTCATATAACACCTGATATATTTCCAATAGGAGATGAATGAGTTTTATAATTTTTCCTATGCAGTTTTAGTCATTCATATTATACCCATCAGATAGTGACCAACGTTTGGTATCCGTTAAGCAATGCAAACTGAAAAATGTAAATGTTTATATTTTGATACAACCTCTTTTATTTATAATGTCATTAAAATAAAGGAATAGTTTTGTATGGTTTTATATAAATTGAGCAAAACAATGTAAGGACAATGTATAAAAATATTGTGGTGTATATTTGTCTTGCATGTTATAATGAAAAGCTTAAATGAGTATTTTCTAGAAACTGAAACAAAAACATGATAAGTAAAGTCCTTGTTTGTGTTGGTATGAACTTTTCCTAGATGGATCCATTAACATGTATTGAATAATAAAACTCATAAAAAATCAAGATATCATTTTATCAGGAGTAATAGAAATTATCACCATACAAAAATTCATATTACCCAGAGATAATTGCTTTGTCCATGAAATATTACGTTATTTCTACTAAAAAAATCAAACAAAACAAAATGCCTGTAATTTTTTAAATGGAACAAGTTCATCAATTACATTGTTCCACTTAACCATTGTTTATTTAATATCACATATAGCGTTCTAATACAATATTTAGTAAAAGTAGAGTGTGCTTAAGAAAACATGTCACGTAATGGACAATAGCCACGCATTTGCAATAAATTACGATAAAAACGCAAATTTAACTTTTTTTGTTTATGATCATTGCGAAATAAAAAAATAGAGGATATTTGTTTGTTTGTGTGTAAGATGAAATTTTATTTCATCGAGTGGGCTTTAAAAACAGTATTCTCACGAGTGGCGAAGCCACGAGTGAGAATACTGTTTTTAAAGTTCACGAGATGAAATAAAATTACATCTTACACAACAAACAGACAAATTTTCTTTTTTATTTTATGCTTAAAAACAAGTTAAAACGAAATTTCCATAATTTTAACGTTAATATTAAAACTGTTTCCCCCATTGAGAGCCCCATTTATTCGGAATTTCTCATTAAAAAAAGAAGTCTTGAGCTGAAAAATAAGTCCGCCAATCAACATTAAATGACGGTGATATTTATTAATTTTATTAAAAAAATATGAATGATCGCTTGTTTTGATAATAAAAACAAACAATTCTTGTAAGAGAAAAAGTCCAACCATCCATCCATATTTCTGTTACTTAGTGCGAATTTATATTAGACCTGGCTTTGTAAATTGTAAGCGGCAGCCATTTTTTAAAGTTGTGTATTTCATGGGAGGAAAATAATTGTGTGTAAGATTCAGAGGGATATAATTTGGATTTGTTAGTCATACACATTTTTAAAAGAAAGAAAACTTATTTGAGGATTGTAACAGACAAAAAATAAGTGTTGACAGATGTGAAAACATTCAGAAAAGGAGCTAGGAAAATGGAAAACTTGGAAACCTGCTCAAGAACGCTGGGTTGATTTAACTTATTCTTCGAGTTATGGCTGTCAATGCTTTCAATTTTTCATAAAGCATACGGCAGTTATTGCTCGTAGGATACTTTAATATGCCCAAATGTCATCAAGAGCAGTTTTGCATGGGGAAGCAATGTATTTTTGAGACTGTCAAAATGAAACAAAAAACGAAATTTGGTGATTGGAATTTCATGAATTTGAATGAATAGAAGTAAGTTTTCTTCTTTTTATTACTTTTGACATTTAAGTTATTAATCAATTTCAGTTTTGCTTTTTCTTTAAACAGCCTGACATTGTCAGAATTGTCAGCAAAAATAAAATTGAGGTACCACATGGGGAAAATCTTAAAAAAGTAGTTTCGTCATTGAAAAGAGTGAAATTATATTTTGATAACTTTCACTGTGAAATTACCAAATATAATTTTCACGGATAAATCAGTAATCTACTGAAAAGCATAAAATAAAGAACTATATTAAATTTAAAAAAAAAAAAATTTATCGATCCACCATCATTCAGTCAGCCGAATGGAACAGTTGTGATAAAGGTTGTATAAATTAGGTACTAGTATATATATATAACAAGGTATGTCTAACCGTTAATTATGCATTTCAAAAGAGTGTATATACATTGAACATATTCTAATAGCTTTCAAAATTACTCACTAATTAAAGTAAAAGCAAAGCCAAAAAATGATAAAGAAACAAAACGTGTATCGCAGAAGTAACTGAATATCTAAAGTCAAGAATTTAAACTTTGAAATGCATAATTTACCTGATGTTTCGAGCAATAAATCTATAAACTGTCGCCTTATTTGTAATAAAAAACAAAGCAAATTGCCTGTTATGTTTAGATGGAAAACAAGTTCTTGAATTGCATTGTTCTGCTTGGCCATTATTTGCTTAATAATACAAATAACTTTTCAGTACAATGTTCAGTGGTGATAAAATGTACTTATTTA